ATGAACGTTATTTCACTTGTAAAACTTCTATTCTTGATAATTATTAAAGTTGAATAACTTATGTCTGACAGTTATTTCATTTTAAAAACATCTTGTTATGGTAATTTCATGTGTAAAACTTCTTATCATGGTAATTACTTCCTTTTATAACTTCTGTCAGCAATAGTTTTATTTGTAGAACTTCTATTCTTGACAACTGTTTGTAAAAAAATATCCATCAATGTCGTTTCATTTGTAAAACTTCTACCCCTGAAAATTGTATTTGTAAAGCTTTGTCTATATACATAAAAATTATTTTTATTTTACTAAAATAATCACCTGCATAGTAATTATTTTTATTTTATCAAATTGAATTGCTGAACTTATCATCCTTCAGATTTCTAGATGTGCAACCATAAAATACTCAGTGACTTCACCTAAAATGAATGTAAAATGCGTTCAGTACACCATTAGTCAGCACCAGCTTCTGATGACACTCTGGCGTGTGGTTTGATTAATTTAAGTGATATTTCCTCCTGAAAAAATGGAGTCTGTATTTTTATGGTTTTAACTCTTAATGTGAACTCAAAAACAGCAATTTTTCTACAAGCAAATCTTGCTAGCTATGTATGCTGTTATCAAGCACAACACAATTATAGCACGCAAACGAAGGAAGAACTGCATAAATGAAGAAAGTATGTGTATGCTTTGAAATGTACATATTTTCTGAAGGTAGCATATGCAGATTGTGGAGAAATACTTGCATTTTATATTATGTTTTTTTTTTTTCAAACAATTAATACTTGTAAGGAAAGTATGTTTTTTGGGAGTCATAAAGTATTTGAAGCTAATAAAAAGAGCTGTGTGTGATTTACGGAAATATGTGTATGAAAAAAGTATATATGAAAATTATAAGAACATTTTGAATATGAAATGTGTGTTTCCTTGGTGAATTTTAACAAAATATGTGAAATTATAAAAAAAATATGTGTATTACACAGAAATGCATATTCTGTGAACAAATTGTATGTGAAAATTATTATTTAATATTTTAGAGGATGTCCTTAGAGACTCAACCATCCTCCAAGTTTATCCTAGCCATCTGAGCCTTTGAGAACTGAGCATTGAGAAAACTTTGTGATACCTTTTATTTCCAATACCCCAGTGTTTGAGATCTTGTCGTGCCACTTAAGGATAGGACATCTTGGAAGGCAGACAGAAAAATTGGCTTTTGTTTAAGGTTTATATTTTTGGTGCTTTTATGGTAAAATTTGCTCTGTAATACAGGTTTTTTTTTTTTTTTGTAAACTTAAAGGCTGAAGAGTTCTACATCTGATTAAATTACTTTTGATATTTTTTACATTAAAAAGCTTTTCGAAGTAGAAACTGAACTAGTTTTACCACAAAATTGCAAGACCTTAACACAAATGGGTTCTTGAAATGTTTCACTGAAAGTAGCAGCAAAGACAATTCACATGATATACAGTTAGTGACAGTTGCTAATTCTGGACAGTTTGGGTACTGACAATGAATTTTAGTTAGTGATCCAGCAAGTCACTGATAGTAATTGTTCCAATTCATAGGATTACTGATTTCATAAATTATTAGAGATTAATAGATTTGATGTTGCAGGAAGTATTTGGCCTTATTATTGAAAACAGGCTACAAAAACTAGCCATCCCTCAGAGTTGTGACAATATTCTTCTGAATATTAATCCTCCCCTCAAAGTTGTGACAATATTCTTATGAATATTGATGACAGATCAAGAGATGAATTCATTTAATGTTTCACACAGTTTTCACCTTTCCAATTGAAACTTCCTTAGTTTTTCCTTACTGTTAAATAAATACAATTCCTGATATTCACATCTGTTTCTCTTGCATGTTCATTGTGTGACGTTCTGTTATGCACATGGGTGTAGGAAAAATGTTACCTATGGCTAAAAAAAAAAAAAACTTTTACGTTTAAAAGGCTAATTACAACCATTACAAACTATGAATTATCTTAAACTTCCTTGGATATTAACTGGAGAAGAAATTTAGCAAGTTTTATGTGTGTGTGTGTATGTCTGTGGAAGACATTGGTGTCTCTATTTCGCATTTGAAATAATAATGACTGTATACAATGTTTCGCTCAAATGACTTTTACTGGCATTAATAAATATGTTAATAAAAATTTTAAAATTTTGATGCCAAATATAATTTATGGGATGTCTGGTAGTATCATAATCATCATCATCGTGTGCCATGCCAATAAGCAAGGGCAATTATAATTTACTATTTTACATATCAGTATTTTTGTCCAAACCAAACTGCGTTGCCAGATAATCCAAATATTCATTGTTTTTCTTTTCTCCCCCTCTTTAAATGTAAAGCTTGTCAGTTGTTACCAAATTTGTGAGTTTTCCCCTTCCCATAACAATCTTGCATACAGGTATGATATTCAAGAAAGATAAATGCATGGTCGAGACTACCTAGCAAGCTGGTTTGAGTCAGCATACATATTACGTTACTGTCAATATTTCTGGCTCGGATCTGACCATAATTCGATCAGTCAAGATACTTATTATTCCCACTGCTTCTTATCAGTGATGTAAAAAAAAAAAAGTTTGAAAGTGCTTTACAACACATACTGTTGTATGCCTGACAATAAGCTGACAAGATGAGAAACATGTAATGGCAGAAGAAATATAGCTTCTATAGAATACAAGTATGTACAGAATACCAAGAACAGTCAGAAAAACACACGAGGCAGCCCTTAACTCTTTGAGTCTCAGGGAACGCATCATGTGCTAATTTGTTACAACCCCCAGTAAAGGTTTTTGATTTACCGCTGACGGGTCATGAAATGCGGACCGCTCAATTTAAACTTCCTTTCCAGCTTTTGGTGTCTGAAATCTGAGAGTCGGAAATATAGTAAATAAAAACTAAATTGATTACAGATTTTGAGTGCCTTGCCATCTGGCATGGGTGATCATGCTTCTCCACATCTTGCAGTTCATTATCAGAATGGATCAGTTTCTGTTCTGACATCCTTCCATTCCGTAACAAAAGGCTGTCAAGAATCCCCTATTATTGTTTTCTTGTTTTCCTCTGACCATATTTTCAGTTGTCACATGTTCCAGTTGTTTTTTTAATAATGTAGTAAAAAATTAACCACTGCCTCCTCCTCCTTTTTTTTGTAGCCAATCTTTCAGTCAGATGGGATATTGAGAAAGTGGAGGCAATCTTTCAGTCAGATGGGATATTGAGAAAGTGTAGCCAATCTTTCAGTCAGATGGGATATTGAGAAAGTGGAGGCAATCAGGGAAATAAATGAATTAGAGACATAAGATTAAACAGCATTAAAAGTCTATGGTTTAGCACTTGCAAGGAAATCAAAGTTACATTTTGAGAGCATGTATCCTTCCTGTAGCAACATGCGGATGTGGGCCATGGACCATCTCTCAGTCCTTAAGAAAAAATACAGGGTCTTTTAAGCCAAAATGTCACGGAAGGATTCTCAGAATACCACGAACAAAGAAGGAAAAAAACTGACATTCTAAAAGATCTGAACATCTCGGAAGCTGAAATATTTTGGCCATATCAAGTACCACAGAGGATTCGAAACAAATTATAGCAGAAGACATTGTACCAGGAAGGAGGAGCAGGGGCGACCAACATGGAAGTTGGCACAGAATATAAGTGACTCCTTGAATATGAAGGTGCATGAGGCGAGAGACAGTTTCTTTCAGGCAGATGAGAGCAATGATCTGCAAAGGACCTACTATGTGATGATGATAATGAGAGACATTTGCAGGAAGTTGGCTTAAATAACTAAGATAACTTGTCTAAGCTTCTTGTAAAATTTATAAATACAAACATGTTATAAATAAGTTAAAAAAACCACTTCATATGTATACTTTAATCCATAAATGCACACAAATCAACACAAATATCAAAACAAGTAATAAAGCTTCATATACTTCCTAAAATACTTTTGATATATGTTGATGAATATAAAGTAAGAACATAAGAAAGGTTGTATGCAATCGTATGAACAGGTACAAGAAAATATGAATACCGCACTAAATAGATTTATGCATATGTATGTGTGAAGTCTTGTAAATATAAGTCTACATAAATATATTAGCTACAGCAAACTGTTACACTGAAGAAAAAAACGTGGAGTAATAAGATTACAAAAATTATATGACCACACAATAGTAACCCTGAGATAATAATATCTGTCCAAATATTTACACACAGGTCTCTATATGGTTTTCCTCCACGTTTCGTGGAAACTTGACCTATTTTGAACAGTCCTCATTACGGTCTTGGAGCTGAGGTGTTCCAGTCATTAATATACAGAATATTGTTTTAAGGAACCTAAATCCAGCACTGATTATCACTGTGTGTGTGTGTGTACACCAATAGGGACTGATAAGGGGGGGAGGTAACTTGTCTATCTTGTGTTCAGGTTTTAGAAATGTTTACAGGTGGATCATCTAGTTACACATCTCTCTAAGTCAACTTGTCTATCTTGTGTTCAGGTTTTAGAAATGTTTACAGTTGGATCATCTAGTTACACATCTCTCTAACTTAGCCATGTCCAACTTCAGCATTCATTCATTGTGGGTTTTTTAAGGATTACTTCCCCTGATGGATACAAATACTTTTCCTTACCAGAGCTTAGAATCTGAACTGCTTGATGTGTGATAGTCAAGTTATAGTCTATTGCCTTTAAAGGACAGTTGATAATTAGTGTGATGGTTTACAGCTAGGCTGTGATATCTGCGCTTTTTTTTAACACACAACATACAATTTAAACCCGTTAATTAGTCTCCTTTTAAGAAATTCTTAAAGGCCATAGCTTCCCCAAATTTACTGAAATCACCTTAACCTAGAAAAAAATCATGAATATTACACTAGCCTGATTAAAGCATAAAGTCATGAGATTCAATTTTATTTTGAACAAATGTGAATACCCCAATGAGCATCCCATGCAGTTTATAACAAAATCAGTTCTCATCAACTATTGACTATTGATTCTGGCTTCCATGATGTTTGTAGTGGACAAGTGGCAGATTTCGAAGTCGCTCTGCGGACTAAAGATATAAAGAGAAATGACTTGTTTAAAAAAAAAAAAAATAAACAGACATTTAATGCATATTTCTTGAGCAAACTGATACTGGACATAATATAAATCTTAGGCATACAAATACAGTCAAGGGAATTCGGGGCCAGAAAGCCCTCCATAGGGCTGTGATGGAAACAACATTCTGCAAAGGACTGCAGTATAATGATGTTGACCGGTTGTAAACTTAAGCAGAATGTTCTGGTTGTTCATCCACTTCTGTACTTGAGTCTTATTCCTAAACCTGAGGTTTGCGTGCAAATCCGCCTTTCAGATTTGACTTATCTGTAAGCAGACTTTTGGTTCCTCGCCTCCCAGGCAAAGCACTCTGACTTCAAAGGGAACATCTCTAATCAGTCAACTTTTATGACATGCTTGTAAAGGGGCAGTGGATCCAAGGATGGATGGTGATTATATATAGAGCATAGAGTCCATACTAGAGACAACATTGCAGATATAGGTAATTTTTTTCAAGTGAACAAGAAGAAGTAACAATCATGACATGCGTTTACAACTGGTTTTGAAGCCAGTAGAAATTCAAGCTTTGTTAAACTAAATGATGTCCATTCGCTTTTTCCCGTGAACACCCATGCAATTCTTCTCCCTCTCAGCACAGAGCCATTTATGTAGAGAATCTACTTGGTGGTGAAATTATATATGACAAGTTAGATGTTTTGAGAGCCCTTTGGGAGTGAGTGAACAGTGAGGAGGCGCAAACAGATCATTACTGTCTGAGGAGAATGGCAATGCAAGGAATTACCAGGGGATCTGGCCGACGCTCAACACTCAAGTTTGGGTAAGACAGATATACAATCAGACAGCTACTGGTGCCATCGGAATTGAAACTCTTCACTTGCTGCTGAAGATGGGGATGGAGCATTTATGGAAGTGTCCTGAGTGCTGTGATGTTGATTCTTAATTAAACATTCCATTTTTAACACATCTAGATATTCAGCTAAGAATCCGAAATAAGCAAATCTCAGTAATTCAGTCAGTTTGTTATGGTGTGTGTATTGCACATATATTTTAGATTACAACAAAGGATCAAATGGTTAACATTCGATTTTCTGTTGATGAACTTCATCTTTTTCTTCTTTCGTTCGTTTGAAACAGATTATCTATATCTGCAATGTTGACTCTAGTTTGAACTTCAATGTTGACTCTAGTTTGAACTGCAATGTTGACTCTAGTTTGAATGTCACTGTCTTTTGTAATTAATTTAGCGACCCGTTAAGTTTGACTTGCACCGATGTTTCTCTTGGCCAAAAGTTTTGCCTTGATATGTTGTGTTTGGGACAGCCTTGGAGGACATGGTCTCAGGTCCCAATCCAGATGTGCACATGGCTGATTCGCTGATTTTAAATGTTGTGTACGTGTGGCTGTGAAGTCGATTGTGTCCTGTTCTAAGGTGTAGAATAATAACTTGCTCTGGTCTTTCCATAAAATGGCAATCATCTTGTGCCAGTTTTGAAAGCTTTCTGATAGATTTGATTATTCTCTTCTTTTGTTGAAAAGAGACTGGTACATCAGGTTGTTCTTCATTTGCCACTTCCTTAGCTAGTTTATCAGCTCTTTCATTTCCAGGAACTCCACAGTGGGATGGTATCCACTGCATGGTTACCTTACAGGTGGTGAGCTGTATTTCAACTAAAAGGATTCATAGTGTGTTGCTTAATTATATGATGCTGTAATCTCTATATTAATGAACCTGATGAGATACTGCGAAATATACCAGCTAATCAGTTGTACAATAAAGTGAGACCTGACTATTAAGATTATATATAGCCCAAGAATGTAGCCACCAAAAAAGTAATGAATTGGCCAGTAGTCACAAAATCATGTGGGAACAATTTGTCGGTTCATAATGTTTACAACAAACACAATACAGTCCACTAACCTGCTCAGCTGTCATATCTCTCTGTGCTGAGGCCATCATTTCAAAGCCAACCATGAACTTCTTCACAGTAGCTGAACGCAGCAAAGGTGGGTAAAAGACAGCATGTAATTGCCAGTGAGAGCAGTCTTCATTTAAATACTTGCCCGTGGGAGCTCCTGGAGCGAAAGAAAATGCAAAGATGAAGAAAAGCCACAAGGAATCTAAGAAAATACAAATATGATTAATGTGACAATGCTTGAAAAAACAACATAGACAAACAGAAACAGTGACAAGACAATCAAAATTTTTTCTTCTTTGCGTTCACCGGCTGTAAACTCCAGTGGAAAATTAGTTGTTCCTCCACCTCTGGACTTTAGTCTTGTTCCACTTTTTATAAAAATTCCTGAGTCAAAACCTACAACAGGCAAATGTGAAGGTCACTGCTTCATTAGGGCCAGCAAGTCACTAACAAAAATTATGTTTATTTTTTTAGTCACTATTAATCACTGCTGTGCATAAGTTTTTATCCTTACCCTAAGGGAAGTAATCATGTAGCTTAAACAGCAAAGAATTACCTCATTTCTTTGAACATTAAAAGTGTTGTTACAAACACAGCCATGTGGACCAATATGACATCAAAATGAGGTTATTGTGATGTCACTGTGACCAAAAAATAAAGAACAACCTGTTTTTCACCCCAAAGAGTATCTCAAATTATTCTTTGTAAACAAAATCATGCCTATCATATCTATACACTATGCAGATTTAACCAGCACCAAAGCTGTTGTATAGGTGTACTGGCCACTGTCCAAAGACCTGCCATTAAAAACTCATAATTGGAGCAACACCACAACACTCAATAGTCTTATACATAAGACGAACATTGCTACACAATAAATATTAGCGTTTTAAACCAATCTGATCAAATATGTTGAATAGACAAGCTGAATGTTAGTCGGGGCAAACAATTTGCATCACACCATGGTTAACTTTTGTATTTTTCCCATATTTGGACCAAAAGTTTATAGTTCCGTAGCCCAGCTACTGAACTGAGTGCATGACGCAACATTGTGAGCAGCAGATTTTATTTGCAGTGCTTTCAATTGTAGCCAACTGATTTTTGTTTTGAACTGCATATTCAGAAAACTGGTGGCACCTTATGCAATTAATTTAGTGAGCAATCACTGATCTGTGTTAACCTTTGCTTCCATCGATGACAAACTACCTATCTAGTGGTGGACTCATTGTGTTGGCCTTTCTGACAACTTTCTTCTGCATTTAATACCAATGAATGATATTGTAATGCTTATATCAAAGAAGAACACTTCACGTTGTGATATCTCAATTGAAGGAAAAAGACTTAACAAAGTCCATAAATTCAAATATCTGGGAACAATCATATCATCAGATGGAAAATGTATGACAAAGATTAAAAGCAGAATAGGTCAAGCGAAAGCTGCATTTCAGAAAATGAAAAATATCTTATGCAACAAATCGCTCTCATTTAATGCCAGAAAGAGGGTGCTAAAATGTTACATAGAACCTGTTTTGCTTTATAGCAGCATATGTTTGAATGTCAGCGAACAAAAAAAGAAAAATTTGGTAGCAACAGAGATGTGTTTTTGTGATGAATGTTACGTATACCTTGGATGGCCAGAGTAACTAACAACGATTGCTTGAAAGAAGCTAATGAAAGTAGATCTCTATATACAACAATAAGAAAGAGACAAACACTTTTCTTTAGCTACATAATGAGAAGAGAAACATTGGAGAACATTGTGACAACTGGAAAGATCAGTGGAAAATAGGGGTAGAGGCAGACCAAGAGAGATGATACTGGATGAGCTGAAACGATGGCATGGAGGGATATCATCAAGAGAGCTGTTCCAGGCAACCAGGGATCATGATCTGTGGAGACGCATGAGCGCCTACGCCAGTTTGCACGGCACATGATGATGATAATCATGCCAATGAATGCTGTTGGCTTTGCCAAGAGTGCAGTCTATGTCAATTATTTCACAAGGAACAGTGACAGGCATTGTGTGTGGTATTCGTTGGCATAGGAACAGAGCAACTATGGGAGGGGTCATTTCTGCTGGCATGCTGTGACTGCGACTACTTGATTAATTTTAGTTTTGAAAGAAGTAGTAAATAAATATTTGGAGCCAATTTGCAAGTACATTTCAAACATATTCTTCTTTTTCACTTCCTCTTTTACCGCTGTGGGTGTCGAGGGAGATATAAGGTTCTGTTTCTAGCTCTTCTGGCCGCCTCGACCATAGGTAGAGTTTGTTGTAGAGTTTCTCTGATGTTATCCTTCCATCTTGTTCTTGGTCTACCTTGTGCTCTACGTCCTTCTTCTCTTTCTCTGGTGACATTGCGACAGGCCTAGCAAACAGGCAATGGATTTATTATTGCTACAGAAAACACAAAGAGATTTCAAACATCAATCCTGGTTAATTCCAGTATGTCTACTGATTTCAACCAGGAAAACTATACATTTTTACATTATTATTTGAATTAAATTTTATTTTATCGGTGAATTTTTCACCAGAGTAGTCAAATAATGGCTTACCATGCCAACCCATGCAGTATGGAAAGGAAGTCTCAAATAAATTGTCGTACACTGTCAGCAAATTTTTCAACATCTTGCTAAGGTCTGTGAAATAACAGAATAGGAAATTCAGCTAAGACAAAGTTTTAAATAATAAACAGAGTAAAATAAAACTGGAAAAGCAATGCAACCTCTCTCACTCTCTTTGTGTGAGCATGCATACGTGTGTGTATGTGTGTTTGTGGGAGGGGGGGGGGGGGAGTAGACTTGCTGCCCCCAACAAGCATACTGTAAGAGGTGATTAATTGGGAGTTTAAAATTGGATGTGTTGGGCTGAAAGGTGCAGATATCTCAGCCTAGCTGTAAACTACAACATAATATGCCAACTACACTTCATCAGTTCTCGTTATGTCTAGTGGTACATGAGGCTTCAGAGAGGACTTTCCATGCTTTCCTGTCCTGTGCAATCTTTAGTGCAGTTTTCCATGTCAAAGATGCCGCACTCAGGTCACTTTCCATCTTCTTCTCCATGTTGTTTTTGGGGGCCCCTGTTTTCTCTTTCCCTCTGGAGTCCATGTGAAAGCTGTTTTAGCAGGTATATCAGAAGTCATTCTCATAACGTGGCCAAGACATTTCCATCTTCTCTTGGTAATCATACTGTTTGTGGCTTGAAGTAGTTTAGTGTTTGAGACTGTATCTGGGCAGAAAATTTTGATAATTCTACGTAAACATGTGTGGTAGAAGGTGGACAGCTTGTGTGCATCCTTTTTGGTCATTCTCCAGCATTCCGCTCCATAAAGAAGAACTGGCAAAATGATGCTCTTGTAGAGTCGGAGTTTCGTTCCTCTGCAGTAATTGTTGGATTTCCAGATTTGCCTCATCCTTCCAAAAGCAGCTCTAGCTTTGTTCAGACGTGACTGTATGTCTTCCTCTGTCCCTCCCAGTAGGGACACCACACTGCTAAGATATGTGAAATGTTCTACATTTTCAAGTGATTGGTTACTTATGGTCACTGGTTGTTGGTTTGGACTGTTTGTCATGATCTTAGTTTTCTTTGTATTTATTCTCAGTCCCACCATTTCTGCTGTGATGTGTAGTCTGTTACTTTTTTCTTGTGTTAGTTCATGTTTATGTTATAGGAGTGCTATATCATCTGCAAAATCAAGGTCCTCAAGCATGGTGAATGAAGTCCATCGTATGCCTCTCAATGTCCTGTCTACTGTGTTCTTTAGTATCCAATCAATCACAAGGTTGAATATGAGAGATGACATAACACATCCCTGTCTTACACCCGTCTTTACTGGGAAAGATGTATTGTAATTTTTTATACTGCAGGAAAAGTCTTTATAGAAGAGATCAATTATGTTGACTATTTTTTCTGGAATTCCATAATGTCGTAAAATTTTCCACAGACCGTCTCTATGGACGCTGTCAAAAGCTTTCCCAAAGTCCACAAAATTAATATATATACTTTTCTGCCATTCGTTGCATTGTTCTAAAATGTTACGTATGGCGAAGATGTGCTCAGTTGTTCCTCTGCCCTTTCTTAATCCTGCTTGTTCCACTCGTAGGCATTTATCTACTCCTTTTTCAAGCCACATTATGATGATTTTACAAAATATTTTGCTTGGTACTGAGAGTAGAGTAATTCCCCTCCAATTATTGCAGTCTGTTAAGTCTCCTTTGTTGGGGATTTTTACTATTGTTTCTTTAGTCCAGTCATCAGGCAACACTTCTTTTTCCCAAATATTCTTGAACAATGGTTCTAGAATGCTAGCAGTTGTGTTGGGATCTACTTTGAGAAGTTCTGCTGGCAGATTGTCTTTGCCTGGTGCTTTGTTGTTCTTTAAAGTGTGGAGAGCATTAAGGATTTCTTGTTTGCTTATCCTACACTTATACAGAGCAAACTCTGCAGAAGGAGGAAAAGCCATACTTATACTGAGTGAAAAATTACACTTCTGTCACATGGTCAAATCAGTCTGCCATAGATTGAAGCATTTTTTTGTCACAAGACTGAACAATCTTATCCTATTTGCTGGTGTTAGATGTGAATACTTTGAATGATTTGAAACTGTCCCATCCAGTGAACTGTTTAGGCTGCTTGAAACCTGAATGAGAATGATGAGGAGGCTTTACTTCTAAATCAATACCAAAGATACAACAACACACCCTGCTAACTGCCTTTTTAATGGTGAATGCAAAGAAGACAACATTTAGAATCCATCTATGTTGTTTTCTATTTTATCAGAATGCCTTCTTCCATAATAGTATTCTAAGACCTTTGTGGTTTTTTTTTTACATGCCCCAAAAATATTTTATTTTCTCAGTTTTCTGTCTTAGTAACCAATCTTCATTACTGAATTCCTGTTGAATGTTCACTTTTGCATCCAATGAATGACTTAATCATTGCAAAACATGCATTAGAATACACAGTATAGATTTTTTTTAAAGGATCATTATTGTAAATAAAGAACTAAGAAAATATTTACCATTTTTTTCATCGTCATTAAGGTCTTGTAAACGTAATACGTGACGTCTTGGTAATAACATAGTTTCAAAAGGCCAGGTCGCCCAGTAAGGTACTAACCACACCCAATGAGTTGACTCCAAAACTAGTCTCTCCTAGAAATAAATGTTATGGGAAGATCGCATCATCCTTGAATAATAATATTATAAGCAAATAAATTGCATGATCTATGTTATGTTTGGGAGCCGCAGTGATAAAGTGGCTAGATACTCATATGTGGATTCAAAGGTGCGGAAATGGGTCAAAGAAAGAAATAGATGTTTTTAAATCACATTTTTGGGGTGTTGTTGTCAAGCTGAAATACACACCTTCATTTTTTTTTTCTTCTTCTGTGTTTGACATCAGTCACGCTAAACACTGAGTCCCGTCTGGGTCACAAATAGGATTGTGCGTCTAAGGTCGCCACCGGTCCCCCATAGCTTCTCTTCTAATGTGGCTCCCTTGGGCCAGATCCACAGTATTTGCTGGGAGAGGTTAGGGCAGTACTGCAGTATGTGCTCAGGGGTCTGTCTTTCTGCTCCACAATCACAGGCAGCAGATTCTTTTATGCCTATCCTGTACAGGTGTGCTCGAAGACCACAGCAGTCCAAAGTCTAAAAATTGATGTTTGTTCTTTCCTGTGGACTTTGTTTATGCTGCCACTCTCTGGTCTGTAATCTCCATTCTGCCTTCTCCACTCCTGCTTGAAAGACTGCTTTAACGCTGTTTTGGTTTCCTTGTAGCTGTGTGGTGGATGAGGTTGTGGAAGATTACTCCCAGCTTTTGCCAACTCATCTGCTCTCTCATTTCCTTAATATACACCTAAATTCTCATGAATAAGGGTACAGACTAAATATAATTAACATCTATGCATCCTGGTAGCTAGACAGAAGAAAACTAGAACAAATGCTAACGTGCAAATCATGTGATATTCTTACTAACTTACTTAGTCGATTCTGTCCTACCTTGGGGTGTAGAGATTTGCCAGAGATTACCAGACTTCTCTATCAGCATTTTTATGTGATATCCAAAGATATTATATGATAACACTAGTAACAGGAAAAAAACCAGCATAACAGAAAAAAATGAAAACATAACAGATTTGGAAAAAAAACCAATACAACATGAAAAAATAAAAAACAATAGCTATTGGTTCAGAGGATAAAAAAAATCAATGGTTATCCCCATGTTGGTTCCAGGGCCCTATGGTGGGGAAAATAAGCACGTCGTAGGAGTCAACTTATTGGGGGCATCCTTTGAAGTTGCAGTACATCTGGCTGAGAGACAAGGAACCAAAAGTCTGCATACAAATAAGCCAGATTGGTGAAACGGATGTGCATGCAACACTCATGTTCTGGAACAAGACTAAAGTCTGTAGGTGGACAAACACTCTGAACTTTCCACTGGATTTTACAGCCAGTAAATGTGAAGAAGAAGAAGAGTCTAGTTAGTTATTAATTGTTAAATAACAGTAACTCAGATTAAGGGGAAAACTAACCTTCAAATCAAAAGACGAGTATATAAAGACAATTTTTATGAATGGAGAATGAATAAGAATTCTGAACATTTATTTAACAGTTTCAAAGGATTAAGTAAAGGATTAGGTAGTTATGGTCTTATCAAAGAAATAGTCATATATCACATTAGTTAAAAAAACATGTGAGAATAAAACATCAGCAATTAAATAAAAGTTAAGTCCTTCATCAGGGCTACTCAACTAAAGTGACCACATAAATAAGGGGTGAGAGCAGTCGACCTGATTGCAAGAAATGCTAAATATAACACAAACTGCGACAAGAAAGCTCAACAGGCAAGACAGCTGAGCTGATAAAAAAGACAAGGTCAACATGTACTTCCTGGCTTCATTTGACCTTGGTTTTTCATTAGCTCTGTTGTTTTGCTCTTTGAGTTTTCTAGACATAGTTAGTGTTGTATTTAGTTGTCCACTGATAGAGACTGGTTGAATTGTTTTATTGTGTCTGTGTATGTCTTTTCCATTCCCTCTGTTGAGCTTTCTAGTCACATTTTGTGTTATATTTAGCTATTCAACAAAGTCTACTTAGGGGCCACAATTATGAAAACTGGGATCGTCACAGTCCAGAGGCCCAAGCTCCCGCATATAAAGATCATTAACCCATTATAGATGGCAATGATCCGTGGGCAGACTATCTGGCTGACACTGCAGTTGCTATGGCTGGTCCAATATTGGACAGAAGTGATGTTATCAATGCCATGCACTGCACTTACCGTACCGAGAAACACACAAAAGGATATGACACCGTATCCCTGTCTAGACTGATGGACATGGGGGTGTAGCCCAGGGCTGCAAGAAATGAACATTTCACTTATGTGACAAGACGTTTCATTAACCAACACAGAACAGGCGCCATCAGTCGTTTTACTCTTGTGGAGCTTTAGAGGAGGAGATCGGAGCAACTATAGATTGTCCAGAGTGCTGTAATGATAATCATTTCTAATTACTAATGATCTGTGGACCACTTACTAGGCCTCTGCGGGCCATATTTGGCCCACAAGCCGGTAGTTGAATAGCCCAGTCCTAAATTACCCTGTTATTTATAACATAGAAATAAAGTGTACAATTAAGCCATCTCACCTTTTTAATTAGTTCTTTTTCTAAATAGTTAACCAACATGGGTTGTCCATTCTTTGCAAAATACTCTCGCTGAGTGCGTTCTTTCACAGCAGGCTCATTGGGAAGAAATGAACAAGCCCACACCTGTTCAGATATATAAACAACTGTATATCAACAAAACATTTCATAATGGCTGGTCATAATTTATTTGACTGTAACAGAGTTGGCAACTCAGCATTTGAATGGACTGTTTGTACAGCTATGGGACAGAACAAGGAAGAATACAGAGCCATAGCTGTGAATTGAGGAGTGGGGCAGTTTTTTTTTTTTTTATCGAACACCGGCTGTGAATTCCAGTGGAAGGGCACGGTTAATCGTCCGCTTGGACTTTTGGTTTTCACCTGGACCTGATTTTTGTGTGTACAACCGTTTTTCATTTCCCTGCCTCATGGGCAGCTGTACTCCGACTTCGAAGGAGGACGTCAGGCCTATTTCTAGGGTGATTGTGGCCATTGTTTTGTGTGGGTCGAGACGTTGCCTGATTTGTGTGGTGTCCACTTTGTCTCCTTCTCCGCAGGTATTGCCCCCTGAACATCCCTTTGGGGCAGCCCTCTGTGGAACAGTTAGCCCTCAAGGGAAGGCAGGGGCAGATCATGGGCATTCCCCGCCATCCAAGGAGGCTTCCATGTATGCAGAGCCGGCACATGGCGCTCTGGTTCTGGGCTCACCCAAGGAATCGTCACGTCCTGCACATGCCTGCTTAACCTCACAACCGTATCAGGCCTCCCGCTCGACAGGGGCTGCGCCCTCTGGAAGTCAGCGGGGAGCAGCCCGTGGGTTTTGGACTTTCGTGACCACACAGATAGGTACATTTTTTTTTCTTCGCACGTTAGATTTCTTTGACGAGCCGTTAGCCCGACAAAATTTTACATCCTGCGTCAGGCATATCGTTATCAGTTTTGTCCCAACATTCGGGCGAGTGGGGTCTTTGGGTGTGGACATTCGGTCTTTTTCCGTTCAATACAAATTGTGATGGTCAGATTTTGATCCGTATGGTCCAGTTTTGTCGGACATTTAGGCTTAGCCATCTGATGGATGGTTGCTGTTGTGGTGTACCTCAGCGCGGTGACGACGACACTGAGGGTTAACCGAGGATGTACATGTATGGCCTGCCTATGGATGGTTGCTGTTGTGGTGTACCTCAGCGCGGTGACGACGACACTGAGGGTTAACCGAGGATGTACATGTATGGCCAGCCTATGGATGGTTGCTGTTGTGGTGTACCTCAGCGCGGTGACGACGACACTGAGGGTTAACCGAGGATGTGCAGTGAACAATGTTCTCTTTACTCCGCAGTCTTTTAACCAAGGGTTGTAATTTTGGCAAACCTGCTCATGTTCCTAATGAGTTTTGTTAACTTTTTTCACCCAAGCGTTTGGGGGCGGGCTGATGAGAGCCACAAGGACACATCATCTCTGGGGGCCGCCAAACTCCGAGATCTCCTGACAGCTCTGTTAATGCTCATTTGAGACATTATCCGTGGCGCACGACGAGGACGTGCTGCAGGGTTCTTGCGTGAGGTTCCGTACAACCAGGATAGTGAAGGACTGGTGCCCGAGTGACGTACGGAGTATCTCCTTATACACATCATGTTGGACTTAACTTCCCCTCACGCCTGTGATATAAATCACCGCGCCACAGTGGGGCAGTTATAAAATGTAACTTGGTAAGCTAAGGTTGAGAGAAGGGAAAGAGCGAACGAAGGAAATTTGTTGACAGCCAGCAGAAGATTCCAGAAGTTTAGACAATGATGTCACAAGCCAGACAATTGCGCACAAGCCTGCAACTGGACGCTGGGTGCACCTGTAAATTCTAGACTTGTCAGGACATTGATACCACATGCGAGATAGCACGCAGAGATTTGATCGCAGGTGGGAAGAATCCTGTGGTAGCTTGAGTCAGTCTATTTCAGTCAGTCATAGTGTTTGGACGTGTGCGTGAATTGTTCAGGTCTTATGCACACATGGATTTATTGTGTCAAAGTTTTAGCAATATGTTTTATTCTATTGGAACTCATAAACTGTCTGATTGAATGTGGTGGATCATTAGTTATAGTTCGGAATGATGTCAGAGTGATTTTCTAGAACGGACTTTGTCGCCTCATACGGTCGGCAGATTTGCTGCTATGTTCTTGCCAAACAATTTCTTGAGGCCTCAGAGATGTGGTTTTACAGAAGAATGCATAAAATTCCATGGACAGCCAAAAAGAGCAACCAAGAGGTTTTGAAAGAGGCGGGAGCCAGAAGACAACTTATCACAGACATCAGAAGGAGACAGTCATAATTTTTCTGCCATATTATGAGAAGAGGGAAAATGGAATATGCTGTGACCACTGAAATGATCTGTGGAAGGAGGGATAGAGGAAGATGAGAGAAGATTCTTGACAGTCTTGTTGCAAGGCTTAGAGGTGTGTCAGCACACGAACTGATACATGCTGCAGGTGATCGCAGATTGTGGAGAGGATGATCACCTATGCCAGTCGGCAAGGCACCTGATGATGACAATGATATGTGCGGTTTAAAAAAAATGATAGATAAAATTCTAAAATAAAAAAATTACCTGGCAATGTGGGTGAGGATTAGAGCATCCCATCACAGCACCACGGTTTTCAAAGATCTGAAAAACAAGTGGAATAATGTAACTTTCAACAACAAGTGTAAATTTTCATATCTATATATTTTTCAAAAAGATGCTTGTTTTTCAAGTTCAAAATAACCATAAATACAAAACAATGCCTGATTTCAAACAGAGAAAATATCATCGTGGGGGTCTCTGTGGCTAAGTCATGAAGACCTTGGCTTCGTTTAGATCATAAATGCAAGTTTTAAAAAGATTACGGCTGGGGCTACTCAGTTCGTGCTTTGTATGATACCCTCAGTAGACAGCTAGGTGTCCCGCAGAGAGAGACTAAACCATAGGGAATAATACCTGGTGCAAATTAAATCACCTCAATTTTAAACCTAATTATAGGCAGGCAAATTATAATAAAATTATTACAGCATTATACAAAATTAAAAATTACTTTTTTTTTTCCAGTGTGAAAGCAATCTGCAAAAATTAAAACAATGCTATAGCTGTTACATAATTAACTAGAACAAACATTTTCCTGCTAAATAAATCTCAAACATTTCATATTGTTGTAAAATATTTGATGAAATCAGGATGGTTACCTGCACCCACTCAAAATCCTTGCCTAGCGCAACATTCTCACTGATCCAGGTGTCTACAACATGTCGAATATCCTTCACATCCATTAACGGCAGCGTAATATCAGACCACGGGTGGAAACAAACAACACGACAATGGCCATGTGCAGGGGCTGATCTAAAGAGTGGGTCATCACTCTCGGCTGGAAAATAATACATTTATACTGCATTAACAAAAGGCGATCTGTTCAGATTTCTGTGGAAACTTGGTTACTGGACAAAACACTCATGTAAAATACAGTTCCCCGTGTGGGTTCCTGGGCCCCATTTGTGGAGAAAAAAAGAACAGACCCACTGCCTGTCCATACCCGAGTGGGTTCCAGGGCCCTATTATAGGGAAAACAAGAATAGATCCATTGCCTAACTAAAAGCATTTCGTAAGAGTCGACTAAATCGGAGCTTCCTTCAAAGTCGGAGTGCATCTGCCTTAGAGGCAAGGAACCAGCAGTCTACATACAAATGAGTCAGATCTGTAAAACGGATGCACATGCAACACTCAGGTCCAGGACTGCAGTCCAGAAGTGGACGAACAACCAGAACTTTCCGCTGGAGTTTACAGCTGGTGAACGTGAAGAAGAAGAACTGCCTGTCCAAAAGCATGTCATAAGAGTCGACTAATTAGGAGCTTTCTTTGAAGTCAGGTTACATCTGCCTGAGAGGTAAGGAACTAACAGTCTGCATGTAAATGAGTCAGACCTTTGAAACAGATTTGCACGCAACACTCAGTTTCTGGAACAGGACTAGGACTAGAGTCCAGAAGTTGATGAACAACCAGAACTTTCCACCAGAGTTTACAGCCAGTGAGCGCGAAAAAGAGTACATGTCCTATGCAGTGATTCCTCCTGGCTAATTAATTAAGTCAGAGGCTTAACACGTAGTGACTCCATTATCAGTCTTATATTACTCAGGTCTGTATTTGTAAGCTCCATTTAAAACAAAGGTGGTTGCTATTGAGTGATCTCATCACACCCTAATGCCAATTGTTTGAAACTGAGGTTAGCACCATATACACAATAAATCTCTTTGAATGAAAAAAAAAACAGTAATTTACTTTTAATTCTCTAATCTGACTGCAATAAATTTCTTCTCCTTAGCGTTCACCAGCTGTAAACACTGGCAGAAATTTCTGTCTGTTTGCCCATTTCTGAACTTTCATCTTGTCCCAGAACTTGAGTTCTTATTGCACATCCATTTTGCAGAGCTGGTTTATTTGTATGCAGACTGTTGGTTCTGCTCCTCTCAGACAGATGTACTCTAACTTAAAGAAAATACTCAAAATTAGTTGCCTTTACACCATGCTTGTTAAGAGGTACATTAACCCCATCACCTTGAGAAGCTGTAAAACCAACAGGCTAGGACCAATTCCCAGGAAGAGTCGTTTAACTGGCTTGGTATAGTTCAGTTAAATTGAGTCAAGAATTGACATCACAGCACTCAGGGGCATTCCCATGCATGCACCATCCCCATCTTCAGCAGCCAGCAGAGTTCCAATACTGATGGTACCAGTCACAATCTGGTTATATGTTCATCTTGCCTTTCCTCTGAGTGTAGTGAGCCGGCCAGACTTGGTATAGGCTTGCTATAGTGGTTTGTTTATGGTGAGCACAGCTAAGAGCACTGACATTATTTTCCACACGTGCAAATGTTTATGACAGAGCTATTCAACTGGTGGCCCGTGTACCACATCTTGCCCGCAGATCATTGCCAGTTGTAATTAATGACCATTCTCTGCCTGGGCTCGGACTTCTGACACGTGACGATACACATTTTCAAAAAATTTTCCCCTGAGTAAACTTAGTTAAATAGCCCTGATTCAGGAGCACAGAACTGATTATATTCACCATAAATACCATTTAGGGGAAGGGGATCCTTGTTAACAAATGATTTTTCCAGTCGAAAATCATCATAGTTTCTCAAGTAGCCATAGGGTTACTGGCCGATTGGGTCACAAGATTAAGTCAATGTCAAGCTATGTTTTTTTTAAACTCAAGGAGATGTGAGCCGATTAATTCTTTGCTGCAATAATTTTTATTGATTACTCTGATCCATCTATAAGGTATCTGTTGGTTTTTTAATCTGTAAACTGTTTTTTGTTTTGTGACGTGTAAAACAGTTTTTGTTTATTTTAATGCATTTTTCCTCAAAATATGTGACCTAGGAAATCTTGGTAACATTTTTTCTACATCAGAAAGGGTTTAATATGATAACCAATGCAGTAAAATGAATATCTGCAAGATCATTAAATTTAAGTAATATCAAACTGGTGCAACTCACGAGGATCAGGTCCACCGGGTAAAAGTGCTGGGAAATCATTATCAAAAACGTATGTCTGGCTGTAGTCTGGATTCACCTGAAATGAGTCCGAAAAAATTATTTTTGTGTCCTTTCTTCTCTGATATTAAAAATAACTGATTCAGCCATTAACGTGTTCTTAAATCAACTCATGATGTAAAAGACTCACCAGCGATTATATATATACAGAGCACTTCTGCTACATTATAGTTAAGGTAAATTTCCTTGTTCTTGTGGATCTTTTACCTAGCATTGCTTTCAACACAACCTGCTGGAAACTCTTATGTCTTTTGTGAATTTTCCAGCCTTTATTAATAAAGGTTATCATTTCTATATTCACGAGCTCTGGGCTATTAGTTAAGCTTTTTAACTCTTTCTGTCCAAGGAACACATCATGCATTCATTAGTTCCTGTCTAAAAGTCCAATGAATGCAAGATGTGCTGATTTTAGTCTCCCTCGACGATCCCCTGGGTCTCTGATGCTAAACCCCCTGGGACTGAAAGAGTTAAGAAGTCAAGAAGAGGACCATGTGCTGTGGTACTCTTGATAAAAACATTAAAACAAAGAACCTACAGAGGCATTTATCACAGCATTATATTGTTTTCATCCTCTAGCATAGTACGGTCTTAAAGAAAGCTGTGAATTTATTTCTAACAGATATACACTTTTAAAAATGAAATAAACTAATGTGAATAAAATGTGAAGTCATTACTGAGACACGGTATGAAAACTCATTTATTTAATGCAAGGATTATGATTAATTTTTACAAAAACACGAAAGATATGCAGTAAATGATATAGTCATGTGAACAGGCAGTAAATAATAGTTTATTTAGTTAGTCAGCTGACAGATTATATTCACCGCGCATCGAAACATTCACTTCATATGTGCTCAGATCCCCTCTTCAGTATCTCCCTCAGTGTGTAGTGGCTTACGACACCAGTTGTGTTGGTTTACTATTCTTCTTTGGGCTCCGGTGTAGCACTCTTGTCTGGCTTCACCCCTGTTGATGCAATGTTCGTGCATTCTCGTCAGTGTTGCAGATTCACAATCATTACTTGATTGGTTTAATCAAGCTGCCTCTCTGAGGGCATTCAGTATATCAGCCCTGTCCATGCTCGTCCTTTCCCACCTGAGCATCATTTGCAAGTCTGTCAGCTCATTCACTGTCCATTACACCAGAATGCCCCAGAACAAACATGAAACTTATTTTTGTAAGCCTAGATCTATTCAGTGACTCTACCCATTGTCTTCATTTGCAACCCTTCTCGATCTTCTTCAGTATATTCACTGAGTCGCTGAGAAAGCATGCTCAGGTAAAAGCCTGTGTTTCTAATCGGGCTACTGCTTTAGTTGCTGCCATAACCTCCATAATCAAACTGCTTGTTGTCAAGGCAAAGGCACACCAGTCTTGTTTGACAGTTCTCTCTCCGACCTGAGCCATAAATGCCTGCGAGCTCCTGACATTTTAAATAAATGATAGTTAATAGCACTTGATATTTTAAGCACAAAGGCTACTTTTAAACACAGATCTAACCTGACCATTTGGGCGTTCTGCGCGAGGGCACAAAGGATTTTTAGGATCATGGCGAGGAATATTTTCAGAAGATGCTTTCTCAACCTGACCCTGCCATGGTCGTTTGGCACGATGAGGTGATACCACAATCCAAATGTCACTCAAAGGATTGTATCTAAGATGGGGATGATCTGTAATTTTTAAAGAAATTGTACAATGAAAACAAAAACCTATAACAAAACAGCTTGTGAGTGAAAAGTGATTTCAAATACAGTAAGAGCTTATTAACACATTTTGTCAACATATGTACAAACTTTCCAGTGTAGGAAACACGGAGATGTGACCTGCAACTTGGCACCCGAAAATGCTGAGCATGTGCTCGAACACTGTCAACTGTATGCTGACAACAGAGACGCAATTTGGCCTGTTCCAACCACAATGAAGACAAAACTATATGGTAGAGAAGACTGTACAATAGCTTTCATAAAGGCTACCGGCTTCCTGATATAAGTTTTCTGACAGAAGGATCAAAGAAGAAGATTAACAAATTCTCACTAAAAAGAATACTCAGTTTACATGTCTACAATTTTGATTGCAGCAGGAATGTAATACTATCATAGACGGAGGCAAAGGTATCATATATTTCAAGAAATACTGTATTCAGATCAACTAGCTTGAACTCATACATACATTCTGGCAAAGACAGAAGATTGTTTAAAATTTGCGCCTCTCAGCCGACTTTTGCACAGCATTTGTTGACTCGATTAGTCTTCCCGGATCTAAGTTAATAACATGCACTTGTCTTAATCGCAGCAGACTGTTTTTTTTTAAGTTTGACTTTGGGTTCCCGATTGACCCAGTCTAAAATGGGTACCAGGTAATGTTCTTTGAAGTAAAGGTGGACGGCCTGATGTTGATACATCACCCATCGAGTGCCAATAGGTAACCACAAGCATTAAAAGGACCCTTTACTTCACTTACCTGTCATCTCAATATTATGAGCATATTCTAGTGAAGGAAATGTGATTGTTTGGAAATAGCTGGAATTACAACTACAAACTAATGTAGAAAACACTTCACTGGCAGCACACTTTTTTCAATACTTTACCTGAGGGATTAAACTGGGCCATCCTATACTGTCAGCAATCACCGGAACAGCTGCTGAGGAAGACAGTAAACAAATAAATTTAAAAAAAAAATAGAATTTCTTTTTCGACATCAATGATTACAAAGTGTAAATTCTGGCAAAAAGTAAAAAGAGGATCGTATGCATGAGGTAGTAGCAATAATTGAATCACAGATGCATGTATTATGTAGAAGAAGTGGTATCCAAGATCAGAAAGAGACTTAATGTTCTGAAGGTTATAGTATCAGAAGACACGGAACAAAGATTTTTAGACATGCTGTACCAGCAGCTGGTTACTTTAGCGATGGAGTATGTCTGGGGCTGCTCACATTACCTCAGAGAAGCTGAAATGCTTACAAAATGAAGCTAGGTGAGTCATTCTGGGCTGTAAACTGGATATACCAACTGTGTGCATGTGGCACATACTTGCCTTGCCATCAGTAAATGAAAGATACAGGGTGCTACAGACACAAATGTTCCTCAAATTTGCAGCAGACAGGGAACGTATTCTACATGAGGGGCACAACCAAAGGGCAAAGGCTGAAGAGAGGTAACTTGTGGACAGCACAGGCATAAGTAGCTATCAGAAATGTATGTGCAGTTGTCAAGCTAGTACATAGTGAAGAATGGATGACAGTGAGGCCCAGCGAGAAAGCCCTGCATAGAGTAACAGTTACCTTGGACAGAGGGTGTTGAGAATCGACGGCTTGTGCACCAGAGGCACCGGCGCAAGAATTGATCAATGAAAATTAGCACCTGGATGATTTCATTACACAAATAGAAGGATCTGTAGCAAGAGGTTTTAAAAAAGAAAAGTGGATGGGGTTTCATTGCAAAGGAGAATTTAATGAATTAAAAAAAATGGACTTATGTAAAACATTACAGCATCTAGTTTGTGAATGGATTTGGAAGTAGTAATGGCAGCTTTCTAATGGATGTAGTGTAGTAAACTTTGACATGTTGCAACTGCAACAATTTCACAGAGAAAAAAGAAACTGGTGTCTTGTGCTCAGAGTGGCTTTCATCTCTTTGGAACATTCAAATCAGAAGAAAGTTACAGATTTTTTTTTTTTTTGGTAGGTCACAGATACTGAAATCAAATAGATTGCTGATGAATCAGACTGAAAAACAGCATAACTGCAGTCAGTATAGCTGATTTTGATGAATCTGTCATCCACAGGAAGTAACTGTAATAACAGATGGCAGAAGTGAAAAAAAAGTTTTTTTTTTTAAATGCCAACAATATTTTTAAATAAGAGAATTATATTAACATCTAGACAGACACATTTCTTCTTCTTCTTGCGTTCATCAGTAGTAAACTCTGACAGAAAGTTCTGGTTTTCATCCATTTCTGGACTTTAGTCCTTTGCAAGAACTTGTTTTGAATGCACATCTGTTTTACAGATCAAGCTTATTTGTCTGCAAAACTTTTGCTTCCTCACCTCCCAGGCAGATCCACTCTAACTACAAATAGAAATCCCTAACGAGTCACCTTTTATGACACCCTTGTGGGGGGGGGGGGGGAACAATGGTTATATCCCTCACCCAACGCCCCTCCCCGGAGAGGCCCCGGAACCCATACTGGGAGAAAAAAAAAAAAAAAATAATTAACAATGTTACAATGAGAACTGTCGTAATTAGGTACACCTAAAAGGTAAAGTCGGGAGATGTGAAACAGCATCATTGCACACGGTTATAAACCATTAGTGCTCTGCCACCAGTACGGACAGCTGATAAGAAACTGTCTTGCCATCTGCACGCTACGTCGATGTTCCTCCATTTACCCTAGAATGTTAACTATGGTACCCATTATCTAGAGGATGGGTGAACCCCGGGAACAGCCTGGTTTTAAACACCAGTCGTGGGCTGCAGCGAGTCGCACCTGGATATGTACACTTAGCCCTACTAAATGTTGCAGAAACTAGGACAACAAAAAGTCAAATTTAGGTTCCGAAGATGAGAATATAATATGTTGTATCCCTTGGAAAGAAAAACAACTAAATAATATAAAGATACCAGGGAGCCTGGAAATAAAAGAAGTTTGATGGAGAAAAAACAATTATCAATTAGGAAAATTAAAAAGAGAAATAAATGAACATATAAAGAAAAAAAACTGGACATGTATGTTTATGGGCGCCGTTACTGATGTGCCTGAACGATTTTATTTGCTACTTTTTAAAATGATAAATAAACTCTCAAGTCTATTGTGGAGGGTTTTATTTGGGTGGGGGGGGGGGGGTTGGGTGGGCAGTACTGAGTACTGTAGGCAACAAATACAGCTGTGAAAATAAAGAGAGACTGACGAACGGTAGTCTGTTGGAATTTGGAACAAGACAAACATCCTGACATCAGACAAAGAATGTGTTAGTGATGAATTCTTGTACATTGAAAACGCAAACAGGCAACCTCTATCTAGCTAAGTCTCTGACGAAATGCTATGAGTGTCGCATCACTTCATCACAACTGGGCAAAAGCGTTAGGTAAAGAAAATTAGCAGATACGATACTAATATGCATGGTTTTAATCGCACAGCAGATAGTAAATAAAACATTTTTAATTTATAAACTTTAAAATAAAACACTATAAACTGTTGAATATTATAAACATTCACACTTAAACAAATATAGTCTGCACCCTTCAGCCACTGACCGCTGAGAACCGCCTCATGACCTTTCGCCTTAAAAAAAAACTCACTACCACGTGTCGTGACTAAATATACTTTTCCCACCAGACTAAATAATATGTCAAATTTTTATTACAAATACTTTAAATAATAACATAACCGTTGACTATACCAAATGTAGCTACGATAGTTTTAGGTTTTTTTAATTATAAAATGCGCTAAATATTAAAGTGTGTGAAAGTTTGTGTATTACTGTATTCCAAATAGGAGAATCCAAACTGACACGTACACTTCTACTTTCATTTTCAGCTGTGTAGTTCCGGTTACACTGGAGTGTAGGTTTACATTGAATCGATGGTACTAAATAGTATGCAGACAAAATCGAATCGTTGAATACTGTTATTGTCGAGGCAGTGTGTGCCTTTGTCGTGAGGAATATACATGGCAGAAGTGAATACGACATTATTTTTTTACAATACAGCCATAAGAATACAACAGAGAGGTAACAGGTATATCATTGGTTAAATAGTGTGACCACACCACATTAAAACAAATACGGGCTCTTCTTTCAATACAGGCCGGTAGCTGGAAAGCCGCCGATCGGCTTAGTGGGAGTTCTCTCCCTTGGCTGCATTGCAAACTCGGAGCGGAAAAGTCACGAATAAAAAAAGACAGTGAAGTCGACAACAGGGCTGCCAGTGATTGGGTGTTTCCCCCAGATCTGGGTGTTTATTTGACGCTTCGGGGAAATCTGGGTTTTTTTTAAAGTAAATATATCCTTATATAAACGTGGTATTAGTTGCCACGGATGTGACTCCTGCTGATCTGTATGACTCACTGACCAATAAATTTGCGTGGTTAGGGTTAGATGTGACAATTTTGACGCAGGAGTTCCGAATAATCGTGCAGTCACATACACACCCAAACAATCGACGGACTGTGGATGCTACTCAAACGGACAATTCGCCACTGATGGGGCACCAGCCGCGCGCTATTGCCGTCATATTTGGGAGAATTCCAGTGGCGCCACTCCAACAAGCATCAGATTGTCGTCCGTACATGGAACTCCTACGTCAAATTTGTCACATCTAACCCTACCCCTAACCCTAAAGCTAATCCTATCCCTAACCCAAACCCTACACAACCGTATGATGACTACGCAACCGTACGATGATAGGTAAGTATGTCATTTGATTTGTGACTTTTCCGCTCCGTGTTTGCAATGCAGCCAAGGGAGAGAACTCCCACTAAGCCGATCGGCGGCTCTCCAGCTACCGGCCTGTATTGAAAGAAGAGCCCAAATACGAAATACATTGCGAAATTTATTTACTGGCATATTTTGCTAGGTGCTTTCTTAATATCCTACCCCAAAGAGGGAAATCCACCGGTCACGAGACAGTCTAATATTTCAGGGGGTGTTAGATAGGGTGCATGCAGTCGAGGAACCTAGGTGGTTGTGGTTATGGCCAGTTCTATGTTTTATTTTTTTTATTTTTGGGGTCATTAAAAGCATCAGAAAGCCAGGAAACCCAGTCTTACCACCCTCTAAAATGTTGGACTGTCATGTGATGTCATCTGGGCTAAGATATTATGAAAGAACCTTTTGCTAAAATACATCTTTCACATTATCAAGTTTGGTTGTACATCTCACCACAATAAACTTTCCTGAGTGCTTTCTTAATATCCTACCCCAAACAGTGAAAATCCATAAGTCACGGGACAGTCAAATATTTTAGGGGGTGGTAGATAGGCTGCATGCAGTCGTGTGACCAAGGCTGCACTCGCGTGGGTTGGGGTTAGAGCCAGTTCTAGATGTTTTAGGGTTGTTAAAAGCATCAGAAAGCTGGGAAACCCAGTCTTACGGCCCTCTAAAATGTTGGACTTCCTGTGACATCTGGGGTAGGATATTATGAAAAAACCATTTGCTATGTGTTGTTTGTGTCCACATTATTTAAATTTACAAATAAACCATTAAAATGAAAAACAAATGTATTAACAATACTAAAGTATTACTAATAATTTCATAACTGATATTTCCAGTCTAATTAAACTTAAATAAAACTAAATGTCAGCACTCCACAGTCTGCTGAGACTACTGTTTGTTTACGGTGACCATATACGAGACAATCCTCATTTTTGTACGTTCATATAAAGATGTTCTGTAATATTTAATATTGCTTCAGATTAGGGCTAGAATTAGCCTTAACCCTAACCCCAACCCTAACCTCAAACAATATTAAATATGAAGAGGGTCCTGTTTATGTTTCCAGGCTCAGGATTATAGTAACTTCCCTTGCCATTCATGCCTCCTTAGGTCGCTGGACCTCTCCTAAGTTGCGGAGGTGTTATAATATGGCTTGGTTTGGCATTCGCTCGGCGTATGTAATGTTTGTGGGAGGCTATGTTGTTGTGAGTCTGTTTCAGGCACCTGTGTACAAGTAAGAAGTACTGCAGGGGGAAGCGCCGCAGACACGACAATTCTTGGCTATTGAAACTGGGATGTTTTTGTATTTCTACGTTCGTTGGCGGAGAAAGAAAGCAGTGACAGAAGCGTAGGAAAATAAAAATATTGCTGTTTCCAAACTCCCAAACCATCATGCAGGGAGCAGAAAGTGAAAATAATAACTCAAGCGAGCAGTGAGAAAAGAGGCAACAGTTAAACCATTCACAAAAAGGAAAACATAATTCCGCAACATAGGAGAGATCCAGCGACCTAAGGAGGCATTTATGGCACGAGAGGTTAGTCTGATCTTGAACCTGGAAACTTAAACAGCACCATGAAGAGTATTATTATGTGAACTTGCACAAACAATGGATAACATCCCCTACGGTCCATAGTTGAAGTAATGTCATATTACAATAGATTGCATTCCCCTAGAGTTGCTGTTCAAAGGAGTGCCTAAATGTCTTATAGTACTTATGCTACAAGGCTTTTATATTTTTTACCTTGTGCAGTAATTGCGCCTTTTGCATGCATCCTTCACCCTACTGTTATAAATAAACACTTGAGGGGTGAGTACCAGCACATTCTTTATATACACTTTATAGTGAGTACCATCACCTTTTTTTCCCAGGTAAACATTTTTTGGCTATCTTCCAAATAACGGTCCCAAATTATCGAGGCAGAAAATAAACCCTAACAGGGCCTCAGTCACGTGTCGATTGTGCACTTCTGGAGACTTAAATTGCGCACTTCTGGCGACTTCCGCAACCGCAGAGAGTATCCCTCACACAGCGTGGATCGGGGCTAAACTAGATGGCTGGGACTCACGAGTAGCAGCTTAAGCCCCAATCCGCGGCATGGGGGATACTCTCAGCGGTGGCGGTAAAGTCTCCGGCAATTCGGCAGTGGTGGTATAGTCTCCAGAAGTGCGCAATTGACACGTGACTGAGGCCCTGTTAGAATTTTCTGCCTCAATAATTTGGGACCGTTATTCGGAAGATAGCCCATTATTGTTTAGACACTTTGTAATGGGTACCGCCACTTTCCCCCGAGGTAAACTAAAAGGCCCTGCTTATTTATAAATCTATGGTATTACAGATTATTGTCATGTCTTCAGTTAAGCCAGAAGAGAGGTACAAATGTTTGTTTACTCAGTAATTAGAAGGACATAAATTGTTGTTTGATTCCTGATTAACAGGCATAATTAGGTTTGACACATTTTCTTGAAAAGAGCTGTCAAGAAGAAAAGACCTAAGTACTTCACGGTAGAACAACGCTAAAATCCCCCCCCCCCCCCCCCCCCCCCACAGTCTGTTCCAATAATGTCTGTAACTACCATTGGCTGCATCCTGGATTGTGCAAGACATTTTTATGAAAATGATATTAGCATTCTTGGAAAGTAAGAATGGTTGGGGTGAAACCAAAGAATATATGGATAGGACATTAAATGATTTGAAACACTACATTTTGTACAAACGGATGTTGCTTATAAACCCTTAACCCAATAATCACCTAGGGGATGTCTGGTCTTGAGGCATAGTGTTCACCTCGAGTGCTAGAGGTTCCGAGTTAAGTCCCAGTTTAGGGCTGAGACTTTTTTCACGTGGATTTGGACTTCTAGTATTTCCCCTGGTCTCTGGGTAGTGAGATTGGACACCCATGTGCATTGCTGTGCACATAAAAAATCCCTTGGAAATCGGAAAGAGTAGCCTGGCGGTGCTGCCCGGGCAATATTTGGAGTTTAAAATCTACCCAAAGTATTTCAGGATCCTCGCCGGTGCTACAGAGCCTGTGCACCATGCTGAGTTTCTTCGGACTCAGACTTGAGGTAGAAGAAAGAACGGAGCACTTATGGATTACTGCCATGATGTTGATCTGTTGTTCAAACTTCAAACCCAATAATTACCTTTCACTAAATGAGGTTCCTCTGTTATTCAGCAAAGATTTTTTAAATAAGAGAACTATGAAAATTATTATAAGCGACATTTATTACGTTTTTGTTGCAGTTGCATTACAAGTTCGGGTGGTACCCAATGTGGACAATTTCCTGTCACCACCCACCCTGCTCCCCCAGACCAGCACACTCACACACACTTTTTAATGTTAAAATTGTGTGTGTGTTGTTTAAAATAATACAGTATAGCCAAGTCGTGTCATCTTCATTAATTTAGTAAACCAAACTTGGTTTCATTCTTTTATTTTTGTTACATATAATTAACCTGGTATGGGGGGGGGGGGGGGGGGGGGGGGGGGGGGGGGGGGGGGGGGGGGACTTGTTTTTAACTTTTTGCTTATTTTTTCTTACTGTTTTCTAGATTATAAAGGGAAAATAATCAAGAAAGAATGGAAACATTTGCACCTGTGTTTGTGGAATCGTATGATCCCCTCAAGGCAGGAAGCATTGATGGAACAGATGAACTTCCCCATGACAGAGCAGTCTCCAGGGCATGCGCAGCAAAATATAAGCCAAATAAATTTGTCAGGGGTGATAAAAAATGCACAGTATTTATCGGACATCTAAGTCCCAATACCACCGAACAAATGATCACAAAATCTTTCAAGGAGTTTGGTCAGATTAATTTTGTGCGAGTGGTCAGAGATATTGTTACTGGTTCTTCAAAGTGTTACGCGTTTGTTGAATTTCAAGATTCATATGATGCTCGAAGTGCTGTTAATAATGGACATAAAATGGTTGTAGATGGCCATGAAGTTCTTGTAGAACATGAGAAAGAACGAACTCTTAAAGGGTGGATACCAAGGCGACTTGGAGGGGGCCTTGGGGGAAAACGAGAATCTGGTCAACTCAGATTTGGAGGAAAAGATAGACCATTTCGAAGACCTATTTTCAGATCAGATACAGACAGGCCAAAACCTAATATAAACAGTACTGATGCACGACCGAGAAGTAGAAGTGCTACCAGAGAACCCATCAGACGTACGGAGAGACACAGAAGTAGAGATTTCAGCAGAGGCCGAGGAAGACAGAGAAGTAGAGATCGTAGCAGAAATAGAGACAGACAGAAAAGTAGAGATCGCAGCATAAGTCGGGAAAGACTCAAAAGTAGAGATAGAGATCACAGTAAAAGCAGAGAAAGACACAGGAGTAGAGATCGATACAGAAGAAAATGATAGATAGTGTGAAGTCTTAGTGCAAGTTGTTAACAGTGGAGTACTCACCTGCCACGAGTTTATACTAATTCATTGTTGGACAGACAGAAATCTGATCACAGGTAAAAACATAGTGAGAGAATATGTAGATTAATTGTATTCAATTTTCATTGTGGGAGTGATGATTTGTTGATTAAGCTGTTAATGATTACACTATGTCACAATGTTATCTTAATCTTATGTGTGCATCCGAAGACTTAAATGTGTTTTGCCCCTTTACAACATGGCTGCGATGTTTGCACCTTTCGGGTGAAAAATCCCACTTCTGCAGACATTTGTTTTCCAGGTTAGCCCTCCTGGGCACATTGATATTAGAGTACCTTGAAACTTCAAAGATAGTTCAGCAGAAGAATGTAGCAATTCCAAGACCTTTGAGCTGACAGTGTGCTTCCAACTAAGTATGGAATATCTTTAAAATATAGTGATCGCTTTGCATGTTTGTTTTTTCATGAATCACACATTGTAAAATATTTATTATTGGTATTGCCATAAGGGACTGAAAAATCTGTGTGTTTTACTTATAAAAATGAAATACAAACATAGTGACTATCTGTTATGTTACGTTTGTTATTATTTTTACGTTTGTTGCTTTTTTTTTCTAGGCTGTACATTTTTAATGTGTAATTGCTGCTCCCTGGTGGAAAATTCTGGTTATTTTTGTGTTTTCTAGTACCTGAGTGTTGCATGTGCATCCACTTAACAGATCAGGCTTATTTGCGTAGACTGTTAGTTCCCCTTTTCTTTGGCACATGTATTCCGACTTTGACCAAATTAAAAATATGTACAGATTGGTAAAATGTGTATTTGTGCAAGACCATAAATTGTTTTGTTCAGGAATTGTCAACTGCATTTTAAAAACGATTTTATTTTATTTACATTTGGGTTCCGCAGCCTTATGTCTTTGAGTCCCAGGGGTTTAGCATCAGAGGCTCAAAGGGTAGTCAAGAGAGATGTAAAATCAGCGCATCTTGCGTTCATTGGACCTCTAGCCAGGACATATGATGCGTTCCTTGGGACTCAAAGAGTTATCGTGGGGAAGACAAGAGTTTACCCACTGCCTCTCGCAAAAGCATGTTTTAAGAGTCAACTAGTTGGGGCCTTCCTCAAAGTCAGAGTACATCTGCCTGAAAGGCAGGGAAATAACAGCCTGCACACAAATGAGCTGTATGTGTGAAACGGATGAGCATGAAAGACTCAGGTTCTGGAAAAGGACTAAAGTTCAGAGGTGGATAAACTGCCAGAACTTTCTGCCGGAGTTTAAGCTGGTGAATGCAAAGAAGTAGATTTACACCTAGGAAAAGAGCAATCAAATTACTTATGCTTGATTAAAAAATAAGAGATTTCACTGTGAATAACCCACACCCTATTCTGCTATGTCACTTGTATAAACACCATCTTAATTTTTCTTCACTTCAATTCCTCTTGTACTTTTGGTGCAGAAAGAGATATAAAGTTATAGTTCTTGCTCTTCTGGCTGCCTCGACTATAGACAAGTGGTTCTGTTGTAGAGTAATAAAAATCATCAACTTTTTTCCTCCACTGTTCTTTTATATCAGAGGTCTTTAACCTGGGGGGAGGGGGGTGTCTCTGGTCCCCAGAGGCCTAGGAAGTGGTCTGCGAAACTTTATATTGTATTGATATTTCTTTGCTGGCGCTCAGACCTCTAGCCCTTGATGACTCCCGTTTTCAAAAGTGTGGCCCTTGAGTAAACTTAGTTGAATAGCCCTGATGTAGGATGTCAGTGTTTTTCTTCTTGGTCCACGGTATTCTAAGTTTTCTGTATCATTTTTCCTTCAGTGTTGAGTGTCCGTAACTCACATCCATAAGCTGCCATGGGAAGGATGCATCATCTCAAAATTTTTACTTTCACTGACTTACAGGTACTGTGCCAAAGTTCCCTCATGGTGTTACTTTCACTGACTTACAGGTACTGTGCCAAAGTTCCCTCATGGTGTTACTTTCACTGGCTTACAGGTACTGTGCCAAAGTTTCCTCATGGTGTTACTTTCACTGGCTTACAGGTACTGTGCCAGTTTCCTCATGGTGTTACTTTCACTGACTTACAGGTACTGTGCCAAAGTTTCCTCATGGTGTTACTTTCACTGGCTTACAGGTACTGTGCCAGTTTCCTCATGGTGTTACTTTCACTGACTTACAGGTACTGTGCCAAAGTTTCCTCATGGTGTTACTTTCACTGACTTACAGGTACTGTGCCAAAGTTTCCTCATGGTGTTACTTTCACTGACTTACAGGTACTGTGCCAAAGTTTCCTCATGGTGTTACTTTCACTGGCTTACAGGTACTGTGCCAAAGTTTCCTCATGGTGTTACTTTCACTGACTTACAGGTACTGTGCCAAAGTTTTCTTATGGTGTTTAGACTCTGCATTGCTTAAGCAAGTCTTTTTTCTGACTGCTTTAGTGCAATCGCCATTGTTATTCACTGGAGAATGGATCAACATCATGGCACAAGGGTAGTAACCCATAAGTGCCCCATTCTACTTCTAACTCAAGCCTGAGTCCGAAGAATCTCAGCACAATGCAACTCCATAGCACCGGCAAGTGTTGTTCACTATTGGGTCTAAATATTTCAGATCTGTGACATTTTCAATTTCTTTATTGTTGAGTTTATTGCGTAGTGTTTGGTGTGCTATGTTGAATGCTGACATTGTTTTTTATTTAATTTAGAAAAGGTACACTTCTTCACAGTTCTGATGGTCAGAATTATTGCTCCTAAATGCTGTATAGAGCTGGCCAAAAATTTCTTTGCCTTGGACTGTGAATGTCATGGATTCAAATTTGATTGCCTTGTTTAGTTCATGAGTGTAATTTCCTGTGAGATCCCATGGGGGTTGTTACTGGAATTTGTGCAGTATTTTGGCATTGGGCTATGCTCTGTATAATGAGATCCCACAAGATGTGGTAAATCTTTGGCTTTTTAGGCTAGTTGCTGTATACAGTATATGGAGAAAATGCCAGATGGGGTAAATTTTTGGCTTTGGGCTAGTTCAGTGGTCCTCAACCTTTCTAAAGCCATGACCCTTTAATACAGCTCCTCATGCTGTGGCGACCCCTACCATTATTTAGGTTGCTACTCCCTAACTTTAATGAATATGTTTTGCGATGGCCTTTGGCGACCTCTGTGAAAGGGTAGTTTGACTCCAAAAAAAAGGGTCGCAACACTTAGGTTGAGAACCGCGGGGCTAGTTGCTCTGTATATGGACAAAATTCCAAATGGGGTAAAGACTGAACCTCTCACCTTAAACCTTTTTTATTTTTTAGTAATGGAGTCTTGTGCCCCAACAGCAATCACACATTTGCACTCTGTAACAAACTATTGGCAGTCTCCCTTAGTTGTCAACAGCAAAATAGATGGTACACATAACACACATGCAAACACTTCATGGTCCTATTTACGTTTTCCGGCCCAGAAAGAGAGTGACTTCCCTGGAATTCATGAATGGCCATGTTGTGGGGTGTCACGCTTAGTGACTGGCTACCAGTGCGTAGCATTTGACTAGTTGTCACTGGCCGGCGATATTGCATATTGTATATTCCAGGATGTGAGCGCTTTTAACAGCCCCAAAACATGTAGAACTGGCCCTAACCACTCTCCCCCCCCCCCCCCCCCCCCCACACCAGACGAAAGAGTGCAGCCTATGTCCCTCGGCGGCATGCAGTCATGGGACGTAGGCTGCACTCTCTCGTGGGATGTAGGGGGGTTGGGGTTAGGGCCAGTTCTGAGACTGTATTGCCGGCCAGTGAAAAAGCGTGACACCCCCGCAACATAGGTCAAGCCCTGTGACACAGCGATTCATCATGAATGGCAAGGGAAGTCACTCTCTTTCTGGGCTGGAAAACGTAACCAAAAATAGCAAGGTTATTACAATATTAGAACTGGTACTACAGTATGCTTGTGGCTTTTGCTGTAGTTTTTGCTTTTTACAATATCACTGGCAAGTAGATAGTTGCCCTGCATGGGGAGAAATGCCAGATGGAATAAAAACCTTGTGCTATGTAGTTGATCCTGATCATAATATTTTTTAACCCTCTTCTTTTTAATAGCAGAGGGGTTTATGTCCCAGCAGTGATCAGTTTTGCAGGCAGTAACAAATCACCTGGCAGTAGGCAAAGGGATGGCATATATATATTGTACTTAGGGAATGTAAGTCCCCGTGGCGGAGCGGCTAGACACCCGCCGCGGATTGGGAGGTCGTGGGTTCACTCCCTGAAGGAGCTGGACTTTTTTCAAAAATGACCTTGTCTCCCAGGTCGACCCAGCCTTGAGTGGGTACTGGGTGCAGTCCCAGGAAGTAGAGGTGGCCGGCGTGATGCTGACCACATCACCCATCTTGTACCGATTGGTCTATAAAAATATAGGTCTAGCCCTATATGCCTAAAGGCATGGAAAAGGGTCCTTTACTTACTTAGCGAACAGATAGCAAGGAGGACAGAAAAAGCACTATAAGGACACTCTCAAAACTGCTCTCAACTCTTTTAACATCAACACAGGAGGCTGCTGCACCTAATCTTTTTGGATCAGCATGGTTTATCAGCCTGCCATGCAGCGCAATGTCGGCTCTGTGGCTAAGTCGATGCGAACGCTTCGTGCTGCCAGGTTCGATCCCAGCTGTGGGCTATGCGCCTTGCATTGGTTTCGACAGTAGTATCAGGGAGCCGACCGTCCAGAAAGCAATGACAAACTACTGGAAGTAAATTTGCCTAGAGAAACCACACAACAGCCAGGGGCTGCTGTGGTTGGTTCTGCAACGTACTGTAAAGGATACGCAACTAACCTTTTTTAACCATGCAGCGCAGGTTGCATAGGCAGAGAAACGGAGGCGGACTAGAAAGAACCGTATTGCTAATTCGACACTTACTGCAGCTTCCGCCTGTTGTACGTAATGCTCAAGAACTTTCCAGGGTCATACTGGACTAATCAGCCACCTTCTTACTCAGTTAA